ATTTCCTTTCGCCCCCCCTTTTTTTTTTCTTCTCCCCCCACTGTGTGTGTATGTGTGTTTCTAAATTTCAACAAGTTTGGTTTTGCCGTTGTTCTTTTTTTTCCGTTCATGCGTGTCCTCCTTGCAAAGCCACACACGCGCGCGCCAATCTGCGCTCCTGTGTAGGTCGATTGAATAGCAGATACAGTGAGTGTTTCACCGCGGCCAACGCCCCTCCCTTCCTCGCCTAGTCGCACGCGAGGCGGCCGGCATGCACACCGAGGACAAGCTTCAGCAGGTCATGGCGACGTCGGCGGTGTCGGCGCCCACAGGGATGCAGCAGAGCCGGTCGCATACCTCTCTTGGCAGCAGGATTCGCACTAGTGCCAATGGGTACCGCATGGATTACTCCCGCACCGCCCATAGCAGCTGGGGCCCCCACGTGCGACACGCGGCAAATTTTCGCTTACGCAGCGACTCCACGACCGCGACGGGCATACTGCAGGCGCGTACGAGCCAAGATGTCACACGGTACCTCTTGCATGCCACCGAAAAGACGCACGCAATTCTGGAGCGGTTTGCAGAGCAGATGAAGACGTATCATACCTTTCAGCCTTCATTTGTTGAGGGTGGTGTTTACAAGACGCTCTTGCCGACACGACGGGCCTTCGGCAGCGCCGCGTGGGACTCCGTGGAAAAGGTGCTGGACGCATCCTCGTCGCAGGCCGTGCGCCACAACGCCCACAATAACTTCTTGGAAACCCTACAGAATATTCCTTCCGTAAAGGATCAGCTGTCGAGGAAATCTGCTGACACAACCGTGAGTAAGGCTTTTACTAGCGAGGCTGTGTCACCGAAGTCCCCTTGTGCGACCCAAGACAAGGACGACGCCTTGTTCTATCTCTGGTGTCGCGAGCGTTTGAGCATGACCTCGGAGGAACTGCGCCAAGAGCTTTTATTCCGAGACAAGGAGCGGGCGAATAAGTGGAGGGCGTCGCTCGCCTCGACGAGGCAACGATGGCAGGCCGAGCTTGAGGGACTGCTTGGGGATGCACGGGATGATGCACAGTTGCCCCCGACGCCACTGTCTCCCACTGAGAAGCGGGCAAGCGAGGCCTCCACGGAATTACTGCGACAGCGCTTTGAGCAGCGTATGCGGTGGGAGGTGTTTTGCAACTCTGAAACGTCTTCCAAACTCGGGTCGACAGCGTCCTCGACGCCGGCGCTGGCCCCAGCGGCAGAAATTATCAGCGATTATCGCAAAAACGATGAGCTCCAGGCATGGATGGAGGGGAGGTGGAGACATCACACCCACCGCCATGAGAACGCCGCTCTGCGCATTCAGTGTGCCTACCGCTGCCACCGAGCCAGACTACGGGCGGCGCGGCGACGGTACACGCGACGTGTCGCCTTTATGGAGGCCCGGCGGGCGGAGGAGGAGGGCACGCGGGCTTGGAACACCGCCCTGCGCGTGATGACAGATGAGCTAAACAACGCCGGGGATAGTTTTAGCACCACCTGGCGATCGTTGAATTTTGTCTTTTCAAAGCTACAGGCCAAAGCGATGGCACGACGGGCCCGTAAGAAGGCCGAGATGGAGAGCGAATTTGAGATTAACGAGTACGCGGCCCTCACGATACAGCGCGTCTACCGTGGTTACTGTGGCAGGAGGATGGTGAGGATGATCCGTTTTCCGGAAGTTTTTGCGCAGCAACGCCGTGCCCGCTTCGAGGTGGCGGTAGTGGCGCTGCAGGCTGCGTGGAGAGGATCCGCAACACGTGCGAGGATTGATCGAGAAAGGAAGGCGGCACTTGTTATTCAACGACTTGTGCGGTTGTCCGCTGCACGCGCGCGGCTGCATCGCCTCCGCGCGACAAGGCGGACAGAGGTGGATCAGTCGACGAAGCGGTTTGCCGCACAAGCGGTGTGTCGCTTCCTGGAGCGAATCATCCTGCGACGTCGCGAACACATCCTGCGCTTCCATGCGCAGGCCGAACTGCTGCAACGTGTCACCCGTGGGTTGTATGTGCGATTGGCCCTGCATCGACAGCAACGGTCACTTTTGCGACTGGTACTCTGGACGCAGCGCCATTTTCGTGGTGCGCTGGGGCGTGCGTTGGCGCAGCAGCGACGAGAAAGGAGGGACACGCTTTTGGAGCACCTTCGCCGTGAGGATGCGGCCACCGTCATTAAGCGGGCCTGGCGGCGGAGCGTGGAGGCTGCAGCAAAGGCCAAAAATCTGGAACTCTCAGAGAGTAGTAACAGCTCTGGGCCTGTGATGCCGGCGCGTAGCCAAGAGGAAGCTGCTGTGATTATTCAGCGTTGGTTCCGAAGCGTGTGCGTCATGCATCGGGCGCGCGCCGACCGTGACGCAGCTCGTAGGCAATTACTCTTAACAGAAAGTGCCGAGCGCATTCTTCGGTTTTACCGTGCCTTTAAGGCAAGAACGTCGTCTTCACAGCCAAAAAATGCACCGATTGGTTGCACTCCATTGGAGAGTATGTGATATTCATTGGAGTTTTCGCTAGCAGTGGGAATCTTATTGTACCTACGCCATGTATAGTGCAACAGCAGTCGCAATGGCTGTATTTTGTTCCTCTTCAGTGTGTGTTGTTCTCAGTTGCCCTGTTGAATCTCCTGCCCGTCAATACTGATTGCGGATTATGGGCTTGTTTTTCTCCGTGGGTGTGACGGATGCCGCTTCTCCATCTCTAGTGTGTGTGTGTGTGTGCGTGTGCATGTCCCTTTCTTTCTGTTATTTTTTTTTCATTTTGTATGTGTGGCTGGTGGTTCTCGTTCACCCCCAGAGAAGCGAGGTGGGTTAGTAGTAACTGCAAGAGACGCCGCGGACTTGGGTGGGTGCGTGTGGCATTACATACAGGCAGCGGCACGTCGTTGGGAAGTAGTGGAACCCAGCAAGCAACCGAGGAAAGGGAAAACTAGAAAAGCGAATAAATTAAAAGCAAAGGAAAAGAAAAAAGAGTGTACGATGCCCATCAGCGAAGCAGAACTTGACGTCGCTGTGGAGTTGGCCCTGCGCGCTGCCCATTTCGCCGCCTTGATCATCGATAAGGCCATGCTGGAGCGGGAAAGTGCACTTATGGACTTCGCCAGTAAAGCAACTTCGGTAGATCTCGTGACACAGTACGACAAGCAGTGTGAGGAGGAAGTTCTGACAATTCTTCGCACCACGACGCCGCATTACGACATACTCAGCGAGGAAACCCACAGCAGCGTGGAGCTCAGTGATAAACCCACGTGGGTGGTGGATCCTATAGATGGCACCACAAGCTTTATCCACGGCCTCTTTGACTGCTGTGTGTCCATTGCCCTGGTTGTTGATAAAGAGCCGGTCCTCGGCGTTGTTAGTGCCCCGCGGCTCCACGAAGTGTACTCGGCTGTCCGAGGCCGTGGGGCGTATTGCAACGGACAACGTATTCATGTTTCGGAGAGGCGCACGCTCCAAGAGTCTGTTGTCCTGTTGCACGTGGCTGTTAACCGTACTGCGCCTGCGGTGAATAGTTATCTCGCCATGCAAAAGGAACTTGCCTGCATTCCTGTTCATGCAGTGCGATGCCACGGTTCAGCGGCGCTTGACATGTGTTTTGTTGCGGGCGGTAGGGCGGAACTGTACTTTGAGGTGGGCACGTATGCCTGGGACATCGCTGCTGCCGCCGTTATTGTTCGTGAAGCAGGCGGCGTGGTCCACAATATCGACAATGCAGAGTTTCTTGATATCATGTCACGTGGCTTCTGTTGCGCCAATTCGCTGGGACTCTCAAGGCTGGGGATGGAGCTTTCAACGAAGCACAATTATAAAGAGGCCACATTGGGGATTTAGCTGAGCTTGCTAAGAATCTTCCCTGTCGCTTGATTCTTACCTCGGGGGGTGCAAAGCCACCCTCTTGCTTCCTTCTTCAGATGGGGATGATCGCCAACAAAAAGTGCATGAGAGTGTAGTTTTTTTT